AACGTCGTCAGAATGTAGTTTTTGATGACAACATTGCAACCCTGAACTTTAACTATTCTGTCTCAGAGTATGGTAATTACATGTTTTCAGTTAATAGCTATAACTACTTGGGACAGATTGTTGGTAATCCATTGAAAGCTAGTGTCTGTGTTTCAAGTGAGTTAATTTTTAAGATTAACAAAAATATTTCAAGTAACTCTTTGTTGCAGCTCCTACTGTTAATGTTGAAATATTTCCAGACTATGATAATGACCATATTTTAATCATAATCATTGTAAGAATTTCACTAGTAATTTTAAATTTGTATTGTTACTGTACTGTACATAACTTATCAATAACTTTATACATTTATTTTCAGGACACTTCAATTTGTCGAGTTGATGATACGTCTTGTAGCATTTCATTGACAGATAGCTCATCTTATAATGAGATCATAGGGGTAGGAACAGGGGGGGGCAGGAGGGGCTTAAGCCCCCCCAACTTTCATTGAAGGGGGGCTTAGCCCCTCCAACTTTAAGTGATATACATGTATTACTATTATCAACACTATAGACTTTAGTTTAGGTAATCCTTATATGTGTGCATATTGTGTGATGATTCATTTCATAAAACAATTAATACAGTCTAGCTTAACTTCTAAGAACACACACTAGTTTTTTTCAGAAATGCACAAGCTTCTACTTTTATATTTAAAAACTCTGTTAACATTAGCTTCAGCTGAGCGTAGATTTTCGACATTAAGGAGATTAAAAAACTACTTGCACTCCACAATGTCACAAGAGCGTCTTAATCATGTAGTTATTTTGCATACACATAAAGAATTTACGGACAATTTATACATCGAGGACATTGCAAAGGAATTTGTTACATTTAATGAGCATAGACGCCAATATTTTGGACAATATTAATTTCAGTACAATGATCAATTGTTAAATCATGTTCCTATGATTGCCAATAAATAATACCTTAGCCCCCCCAACTTTTAGTTTGTTCCTACCCCTATGAATGAGATGATGCCCTGTGCTCTAGGAAAAGTGGTAGAATTTACTAACATTACATTTGGAAAAAATTATACTTACAGTGTTACAGTTGCTAATTTATTTGGATCATCAAACTCAACTGATACAGTGGGTTAGTTCCACAAAATTAAAAGTGTTGGTGATTTGACTGTATAATTTACATGTAGCTTAGAAATATACTGTACATGTACACGTAAACTACTTTGTATCCTACCTAAGCCAAACTTCAAAGAGGCGGCAGTGCTGATAAATCACTTATACTGCCCTACAGAGCATGATAAATTCCTTTCATGTTTGATATAAGCACTGCTGCAATAGAACTTTGAAATAAACTTTAAAATAATAAAATTATTGTAATTTGAAAAAAGAGTGATAAAAATAAATTTGTCAATAAACAGAAGGACTCCAGCAGCTCAGTGGGGACTGACACCCCCAATAGCAGCCATTTTGCTGCAACTATACTGACGGACAGAGTTGGAATCATTGAGCATCTATAAGATGCCAGAGAATTTGGCTACAAGCAGTCATTGGCCACAAATAGTTGTTAACATAATGAAGGCTCTA